ATATTCAAAATATCAAAACTGAAATATCTAGGCATTTTCAGAATATCAAAACTGAAATATCTAGGCATTTTCAAAATAAAAAAAAAACCTTTTTTTAGATACTTGAAGGTCCAGTATTCAGTTCAAAAATACGGAGCTCCTCCAAATATTGAAATCTAACATAGCATGCATCAAATAGAAACTATCATAATTTGAAGAGGTAGTTATGATACTTCTTACATCCATTTGGGAGAGCTAACAAACCATAATAATCTTTTATTGATCTTCCGATAATCTTTTATCAATATTCTAATAATCCTACCAACAACAACTAATTTAATTAACAAAAACCTAACAAGGGCCAGAATATAAAAAGTGCATCATAAACCTAATAACTAAACACTTAGCTGACAAGACCTACCAATCAACAAGAAAAAGAAAAGCCAATTTATCTTTCACATCATCAACAATATACAAATATTTTTTAATGGAGTGATGCAATGATACTGGCAAAAATGACTCTACTACAACAGTAAGTCAAAAACAATATCTCAAATTACCTTCATGTTCTACATGCTTATTAGATATATTTTTGCTACTTGTGCTTTGAAAGTGGATTAACTCAAGAGGAGGTCTCCTTTGAAAGTGTTTGCCAGTTACAATAAAATATATTTTCCTTTGAAGAATGATACATCATATACTCACCACTCTGAAATGAAAAAGAATACAACTTTGATTTAAAATCAACAGAATTTAGGTTTAAAATCAACAGAATTTTACTCCGTATGCATTTCTTAAGAGCTATTCAAAATCTCTCAAAACACATCACACACATCAACAAAAAAAAACTAAAATTAATGCACAAAACATAATTGTCAAATCTGAAGATCAAACTACACTAAAAAAATTACCCAAACCTTAAAACCTAAAGCAATTGTATTACAAAAGCCTGTTACTATTCTTCCCGTCCTGATCACAGTCACAAGGTACTGAATTCATGCCTTAATTTTACACTGATGATCTTATTTGTACTTCAAATGAACACTTTTGAGTAACAGCAACCCATATACAAACTGAAGTTTCCTGGTTCAGGAAAAATTTGTTGCAGCACCTAGGTTACCACGAGAAAGATTAGTGGACAGTAAGGATGATTAAAGGGAGAGGATACCACAATTGTCTCATGATACAAGTCTTAAAAGTGTTAGTGCTGCATGTGATCCAATAAAACCAGCACCCCCTTGTTACCAAAGTGACACCCATTTAGAAAAAAAGAATACATAATAAGAACAAATGAAAATATAAGAGGCTTACTTCAACATCATCAGATCCACGATAAGTAGATAAAACTATAAGCTAGAAAAGCTACATTCTTTCTTTCCTTGCTGTATAATTTCAATGGAATGTAGCTTAATAATTTAAGCCAAAGTACATAACAAAGTCAAAATTCTGTGAAAGAAGCAAAATTTATGTCTTCAAGGAAATTCAAACAAGGATTTCTATCATTAATTAGGCTTACATTGTTGGTATTAGTAAAAAAAATTTGGCAATCAAGCTTAGACTGACAAACCATTATACTGTATTTTCTCTGTGCAAACACTCCTTTCAACCCATACATACTTACATATAATTGAAAATTTACAGTAGTAATTGAAAATTTAGTTTTTGTCCTGATTAATCATGAGATTTTTGGCCCTATTATCAGTCCTACCCTCATTTCAAAATGCACACATCCCATTACTCAAATTGGTCTATGCTCCATCAACAAAACTATATATATATATACATATATATATATATGTATGTATATATATATATATATATATATATATGTGTGTGTGTGTGTGTGTGTGTGTGTGTGTGTGTGTGTGTGTATATATATGTGTATATATATATATGTGTGTGTGTGTATATGTATATATATATATATGTGTGTGTGTGTGTGTGTGTGTATATATAATGTTCATATTATCCTCATAAAACCTAGATATTCGACCAAAAAAAACCAAAAAAATAACAATCAATAAAAATCGAAAAATATTCAGAAAACCTAGAAATTCTACTCAAAAAAAAAAAAAACAAAAAAAAAAAAAACCAATCAATTAAAGTCGAAATATATTCAGAAAACATAGAAATTCAACCCAAAAAAACCTTAAAAATAAGCAATCAATAAAAATCGAAAAATATTCAAAAACCTAAAAATTAACAAATGAGTACAAAAGGGGAGATTACCGGGAGAATGAAGGCATCGTCGTCTTCGTCAAGGATTCACAAAAGACACCCACAAATCGAGGCATAATTGAAGAATCACCATTGAATTGATGAAAATGGAATACAGAGTAGCATACCAAATTAACAAAATTGTAAGACTAAACCCTAGACAATGAAGTTGATGATCTAATTAAATACAATGGTACCACCATTGGAGGAGACAAAGGTCGGAAGCCGCTGCAAGTTTTAGAGAGCACTTTTGAAATCCCTTTAGATCGAGGGTTCAAGATTTAAACCGCTCTCGACGATGCCGTCTATTGTAACCATCAATTGCAAAAAATTTAGGTCTATTACATGAATAGTTGAGAATTGGAGAGATGGAGGGTAGGAAATTAAGGGGCGGTTTGGTTCGCGGTAATGGGAAAGGGAATGAGAATGATTACCTTTGCAAGTGTTTGTTTTGCATCTTTTGTCATTCACACTCTCCATTTTTATTTGCCACGCATCTCCCTTCTCTCTCAAACCCTAACTTGAAGCTTCGAGCTGAGGTAGCCGCCGCCACCGCCACCGCCGTTGTTTCTCCGGCCACTTCGACGACGACGCCGATTAGGTACGCCTGTTGTCCCACACATCTCCTTCCTCTCTTTTGTGTTCTTCATTTCGGCTTTTTTTGTTGATTGGATTCATATTTCTTTCGTCTTCACGAATTCGTATGTTTTTATGGGATTTATTTTGTTGAATTCGAATTTTTTTGTTGAATTTTTTTACTTCTGAATTCGTATTCTTAGGGTTCTCTGTGTTTTGTTTTTTAATTCTAGGGTTCATGAATTCGTATTTGTTACTTCACGAATTCGCATTCTATTTGGGATTTTTTTGTTTGTTGATTTGTTGTTTGTTGATTCAGCTAAGAAATGTGAGGTAACCACGTTTTTATTGGAAATTATTGTCAGGTTGATCTCTTTCATTGTCCTGACTTGCATGTTGAATGTTTGTTCATATCACTTTTTTTTTTCATTTTACAGGTCTATTATTCCATGTTACAGGAACATATTTTTTTTTCTTATTTTTGTGCTTATTATATAAAAACAGGTTATTACATGAAAAAATGAGAAATTTTAAAAATTCCTGGTTTGATTCCCTAGTTTGAACCAAATAACAGCAAAAGAATCAATGAACAATTCATTCCGTTTCCTAGGCACAACCAAACAACTTGCCCAGATTAGGGGAATTTCTTTCCTTTCTCCTGCATTCCCTTTCTGCATTCCATTCCGATTTCCCTGTGCGAACCAAACGACCCTTAAGAGAGAAAGAGGAGAGAGGATGCTAGAAATTGAAAGGATGGGAGCGATTTCTAGCAAAAAGCGCACAAGGAAATGAAAAATGAGAGGGATTCAGGAAAAGGAAGAAGACAAGACGAGAGCCAAGCAACAAATTCACTTGAACCAAGGGCAAATGTGGAATGTTACTGTAGATAAGCTACAGTAGCATTCCTTACTTTTTATTAAGGGACATAGATAAAACAATCTTCAAGATAAGGGTGTATAATGTTGATCTTGAACCATTGACTAGCACACAAATATTGAAAACTAAGCTCGGGGAGTGCTTGAGAATACCCTTTTTGATGCCCAAGTTAGTTTACTCGAGAGAAAAGGGTGTATTTACGATATTTTAGATTAGTGTTAGTAATTGTGATAGAAATTTGTTACCTTGGGATTCGCCCTTCAGTTGCTATTTTATAAATGCAACTGGTGTTTAGTCTTTGGGGCTCTTGGGCCGTTTGGATCTTTGGACTCTTGGATGTGGACCGCTTTGCTGGGCCTATTTAATGTTGAGCTGGGCTGGTGGAGCTTTTGGACTTGAACATGAGATTTGGACTTTGTCATCAGGCTTTGGACAGTTAAAGGCCCAAATGGGGTAGCAATACAGTCCCTTCAATTCAACAAATTTGATCAGGCAAATTCACATCTGAGTTTCTCCACTACTCTAACAACTGCTCTCATCGGCGCCAACATAGTGCGATGAAATTTGATTAACATTATTAATCAATTCTCTAAACAACAGCAACCATATATAATATCAGCTTCTTTGAAAAAAGTCGATTAATTGCTACATCTGCACATTAAAAGTGCTATCTTTGCATTAATATTTCTCCCAGGGTATCTTGTTCAGCTAGAGCTTCATTGGATGCCTGAAGAATGCAAAGCAGATCAAAATTATGAGGTACGAAATGCAGAGAAAATAAATATGCGCGACTTAATGTACACGATCTATCATAATAAGAGGAGGTATGAAAATAAAACCTACTTAAAGACAATAAAGACTGGACAAAAACACACAAGATTACTGACGTCAACTTCTAGACCGGTCACTCATAGGACAAAGTCCAAGATGTTGATTAGCATTTGCTCCAAAAGATCGCTAATACTTAAGACAACGACACAACAATAATAATGGACATAATAGTTGTAGAGCAAGACCAACTACAATTGTATACACTACCCATCAAAAATTTCATAGATAATGAAAGCATATATTAAAATCAATTTGTTAGAAAAGGAAGCTTGGAATAAATTATTATCGCTGCGTATATCATATGAAACTCTAAACTTCATGGAATGACAATAAAACTACCAATTGACCACAAAGCTAACATGGCATTTTAACTCAAATTGGGACAAGATCACTCTAGTAGACATCAAAGTACATGTTTTATTTCCGTACCTCTTTAAAACGAATGTACTATCAGATCTAAACAAACAAGTTTTTATATCAACATAAAGCCCTTAAATTAGATTATCATAGGAGAGATAGAAAGAGACGGACAATATAATCCCAAATTCTTAGGCCAAAGAGTACAATAGAAAAAATCATCTATACAGGAAGGAATGGAAACGGTAGCAATTTTCAGCAAAAACCTCAGAAGTAAGCCCCTTTACATGTCTGAATATATAAACCCTAATCATCTATACAGGAAGGAATGGAAACAGTAGCAATTTCAGAGAAACTTGTCATTTTCCGAACCCAATTCCTGAAAAAGAAGCAGAAAATAATCTACAATCCAATCAATAAATGTTAGTAGCTAAGAAGTGCATTACACTTCATATTGGAAAATTTCCCCGTGGTCCTGTGTCTATCAACAGAGTGTACACTTGCAAATAACATGTTAATTTGCAACCGAATACAAAGTAACAAATTCACTGCTTGATGTTGCCATTGGAATTTTTTTACAAAGAATAAACATGTATAACAATAACAGCTGCAATCAACTGAGATGGTCTTTAATGGGAGGTTTGATACTTCTAGCACATCTTAGCATTAGCACCTTTGCTCATAATCTGCTGCATAAGATGTCATAAAGTTGTTATAGAAACGATGAAATATCACACTATTCTATTGGTATAACAAGCACAAAACATAATGTCAAAAACATATTAATTTGAATTTTAGATCTTTTATTGTCTATCTGATGCACTGTGATAAGCTGCTTATAACTCTAGAATGTCCAAGCAAGATGGTTAGCAGAATTAGCTCTCTAAGTCCTAGGGACTCAGAAAAAATTCCATTTTGAACTAGTAATTATGCTGGCTTCAGAATATGCCAGAGCTAGCATTTAAAAGGTAATAAAGGCGATACGTTGTATGTGAGGAAAAATTGTCTTATAAAATGAAGTGGAATTTCCCAAGTTTAATGATACAATCTATAAAGACGTAATAGATTAAAGAAAGTCTAGCTAAGCAGCGGTATCGAGTACATTCAAATAACTACTGGAATTAGCCTAAAGAAAAATGTACCTGAAAGAGGAGTGAGTGCTGCAGAATAAAAGCTTCAAACAATGACTTCACTTCCCGGCTTCTCTCCCATTTTTGAGCTTTTTTTATTTACCATATATCAGAACTAACTGTATCAATTAGTAATGTAAAAGATACCATATATGAAGCTCATGCTACTTTGAGGAGTCACAAAAATTAGCGGTGATGAGAACACCCTCATGGACAGGACACAATTATCATCCAACTTACAAAATAACTTCATCCACATTGGATTGTCGATATATCTAGGCTTCATCATTTTCTCAATGCTATGCAAAGAATCTCAAAATTCTTTCTATTCTAAATTCAATAAAGCTCAGATTATGTAAATAATGCAAAGTTTTATTTCATAGCACGTAGGTCATGATTACAAATTCTGAGATGCTCCCAAATGTCATGGATTAATAAGTCCATTGTTTGATAACTTTCATTCGTTTCTAGATGGGTCTCATCTCTGGAGGTGAAAAGATATGTCTTCCCCTTAATTTCTACCCAACTAAAGCCCATATCCTTCCTTGTTTTCGGCTCTTTCATTTGTCTCCGAAATAAAGGAACACCATTTAATCTGCCAGAACCATGAACATTGACAGTCAAGGGAAAGGTCCTTGATTCAGTAGACTCAAGTCTCCATAGCTGATCAGCAGCATAAAGACCCAGCTCAGAGTCTCCCCAAATCCTGCAACCATTCAGAATTGATCACCAAAAGACAGGTGTTGGTTCATAGGGCATTTCCAGGACAAGCTGTATTGCTTTTTTGAATAACCCAGCTCGTGCAAAAAGATCAGTCAGGCAGCTATAATGCTCAGGTCCAGGAATAATTCCATAATCCTTCTCCATGCTTTGGAAATATTGCTTTCCTTCTTCAACTAAACCACAGTAACAACAACCCTGGAGAACTCCCAAAAAGCTTATACGGTCAGGAAGCACTTGGTCTTTCTGCATCCGATGGAATGTCATGATTGCGTTTAAAACATTACCGTGTTGAGCATAACCAGTAACCATACAGTTCCAACTAACAAGATTACAATAAGTTAAACCCTTAAAAACGCACTTTGCATCATCATAGCTACCACATTTCATGAACATCGAAAGAACTGAATTTCCAATATGGCTATTCTTCTCATACCCTCTTTTGAGAAGTTGCAAGTAAACCTGCTTGCTCATTGACAGCATTGCTAAATCTCCTGAAGCAGCCAAAGCAGTAGTAAACGAGTGAGAATTCGGTTCAACACCAGCCAACAACATTTCCTTAAACAAAATCAAAGTTTCAGCCGCCAACCCATTCTGTTGAAAACCTGACATGATAGCAGCCCAAGAAACAGCACTACGCTCTGGCATCTCCTTAAACAAACGCCAAGCATCACTAACACACGACGCCATACAAAGTCCAGAAATCATTGCCGTCCAACTAAAAACATCTTTACCCGGCATACATATAAAAAGTTCCAATGCAATGTGAATCATATTTCCTCTACTATACCCAATAATCATAGAATTCCAAGAAACATTATCTCTTTCAGGCATTTCATCGAACAGTTGGCGTGCATGATCAATCATTCGATTTTCCATATACCCTCTAATCATGGCATTCCAAGCAACCGTATCCTTGCATAAAATACTATCAAAAATCACTTTAGCATGATCAATTTGTCGTCGAATGGAAAGATTCAATATTCTTTTAGTCAATAAGACTGTATCTTCATTATTTGTATTTGTAAAATTGGTGGGAAAATGATGTTTGTTGTTATCATTAAAAGGTTGTAATGTTGGATTAGAAGACATTTCTCTGTTGTTAAGGTGCATAATGGAGTTATAAGCATTGTTGATGGTTGTTTTGGGTTGAAGAAGGATATTCTTGAAGTTGGTATAAATTCCATTTCGAAACAACATTGACTGTTTCTGAGTTGCAGAGCAAACTTATATTATACTCATAAAATGTTAGTTGTATAGGTGTATTTGATCATCAGTTTGTATAAAGGCATTTATTTTTTTCATTTTGCACTTGTAAAACAAAAAGGCTACGTTGTACAATGTTTTTGTGAGGCTTACATAGACAACTACTTTGAACTTTTAAATTCATATTAAAAGAAAAAAATTTATTAAAATTAACATAGATAAAATAATTTCATTACATTTAATCAATAAAAGAAAAAAATGTATTAAAATTAACATAGATAAAATACAACTTTAATATATTTATTACTCGTACCTTCTTATTTTGCATATATAATGAAATGAAACATGAATTATAGCGAAAGAGTCGATTAGACAAATAATTATATTAAAACTACATGTTAGACCAGTCATATGAGTGTTTAAAAAATTCAATGATAAATTAGTATCATTTTTTTTTATTAACCAAATAAGTATTTAAAATTATGTATTACACTTAATGGGCAAGAATAATAACCCCGATTTAATTATATTTGATCAATTTTTATAAAATATACGTATAAAAAACTAGGAATAATATTATAACAATTATAATATACTAAAATTCTCAAAGAAGATATAGCTAAAAAGGGAAAGGGAGTTTTTGGAGGGAAAAAAAACTACACGAAGAACTGACACATGTCATTCGTGGCGTCTGTTTTAGTATTATGTTATTGATTGATTGACTCGAGCCATGCCTCAAATCATTACTCCCTTCGTTTTTTTATAAGCTAGAGTTGGGATTTTTTACTATTCATATGTCATCATTGACTTAACTTTTTTACCATTATATATACTGTGTGATGCGTATGTTCAAGAAACTTAAACACACACAAGGATAATTCAAGCCTAATTCTCTATAGGATTCATCCACCAAGAATTAAACAAGAAGACAAGTAGATTAATTAAGTTAAAGGTCACACCACCCCTTAATTAATGAACTTAAACAAAGCTTAAAGAACTTAATAACCAGCTTCAAGAAACGAATGTTTTGATTGCAAAACAAACAAATACTTTGATTTATTAATTTGAAAAATTCTGTATCTAAAAGTCATGAAATTACAACTATTTATACACTAAAAACTAACTAATTCTAAGTCTAATGGGACTAGGACAAGTCCATAGCCTTTAGCCCCAAGTACCCCAGATAGAATAAGAAAACTAATTCTACTTCGTCTATAATTCTTAAAATAAATAAAATTAATCATAAGTGCTTAAACCAAGAAAAACCCTTTCAAGTGAAAGGTTAAAACTTGCAAGCAAAAGCTAATTAACAACCACTAAGTAGAGTAAGTAGAGTGATTCGGAACTTGAGCTTGTACTGGACACCAAGTTCCTTAGCTTGAACCGTCCAAGAACCGCCAATTTGTAGCTTCTAATGAGTTAATGTTCAAGTTTAGGTTTTCCTTGTAAAGATTTAACAAACTCTCGAAATTCTCAATATCTGGATCACTGTGAGCGGTCTAAACTCCGACCCCTTATTTCTTTCTGGGAGATTCTTGGGTGAGTGTTAGCAAAAGGCCTTCCAGGGATCCTACACCATAATAAAATACTACCTTCATGATTAAATATAAATATGATCATATAATATGTTGTTGGATTTGTCATAATGTCTACTTTTATAAATTAATTTTTTCATAATTTTTACTAACATCTAATTAAAGATATTAATGGTCAAAGTTATGTCTTGGAAAATGTACAAATCCAACTCTAGGTTTAAAAAATAATAATAATAATAAAAAAAAAAAAAAAAAAGTGGAAGTATAAATTTGTAAGTTTGATTATAATTAAATTAAGGAGGTTTGTGTTCAACAATATTTATAAAATTCCTTCAAAAATATGTTTATTCCCTCCGTATTTTAATAATTGTTAAATTTTGTCCGACATATAGTTTTAGGCAATTTAATTAACTTAAATAAAATAAGAGGTAAGTGGGGTGCTTAGAGTATTAAATTTTTTTAAAAGAAAGATAGTGGGGTCAATAGTTTATTAAAAAGTAATGAATGTGAAAGGAAATAAATAATAAAAAAAAAAAAGTAGTATTGGGTTCGGGTGGGGATCATGAAAGGAGAAAGATATAATTTTTTTTTTTTTTTTTTTTTGGTATCTAGAGAGCCACAAGGGCAAGTGAGGAGAATAGATCCTAAGATTACTTGGAATCGGGAGGAGAGCTCTAACCAGTTGAGCTATCCCTCACTCTCAAAGATATAATATTATTATATAGGTTTTTGCCAATAAAAGAAAAAAAAGAAGTGTAACACTTATTAAAATACGGCTGCATTTGATAAGTGTAATATTTATTAAAACACGGAGGGAGTATAAAAATATAATAATAAATTTAAGAATAATGGGTGCTAGTGTTTATTCATTTTACTTAACATTATAAAATAATAATTTATGTAAATATTATTGTACTTTGTATAATTACTTAACTTGTATTTAATTCAGAAAATTAGCATACAAGGAATTAATAAAGATTAGTGTGTGATCGATTAATGCCTTACAAATCAAACTGTAGATTATTATGCAATATTAATTAGGAGTTACATTTTATGAGAAAATTTAATACGAAGGCTACACATATGAAAAGTTTTAGGGTGATGAGTACTTGAAGACACATAATGTGACACATAACGCTCATGTGACGCCAAATCATATGGAAAGAATGATGACACATGCCGGTAAATGTTGTCTTTTTGAGTTTTAATAATATTATAAATTATGATATGATTGGCTATTGAAATGGATCCTGTGTTTAGTGTTTTTGAAATTTAAATTTAAAAGTTTTACAATTTTGAAATTTGAAATGTAAAATAAAAAAATGTTTAGAATGCTTTCTAGCATGTAGCTAGTGCCTACACTTTGTGGAAGAAGCTCGAGTCTATATATGGGAAGAAGAATGCATCAAACAAAGCCTTACTCATGAGAAGACTTGATAAGTTAGAATACTCGAATGGTCAAAATGTGATAAAACATATAAGTGATTTTCAAGGTTTAGTAAATCAGTTGTCTGTAATGAAATTTGTGTTAGAAGATGAACTACAGGCATTACTCCGCTTATATCATAGTCCGACAGTTCGGAGACTCTTGTTGTGTCACTTTGCAACTCTGCTCTGGGAGCAAAGCTCACAAAAGAGTTGAGGCTATGAAGTCAATTTCGATGAATAATGAAGAAGCCCAATGGAAGGAACATAAATCCTCTTTTGATCATTTGGGGGCTTATGTAGCTGAAAAATAAGGTCGAGGAAGAACCATGATTAGAGACCATGAAGATTCTGATTCTAGCAGGGGGATCTAAGACCGAAGACAAGGGGACAAGTTATTTGTTTCTATTGTGATAAGTCGAACAAAAAAAATTTGAGTTAGGAAATGAAAGCGTGACGAAGAAAAACAAAAGGTGGAGAAAGGTAAGAAAAGCTTAAAGGACAATATTCTAAGAATGACGAAGATGATGGAAATAATTCGGCTTTTGCAACTAGTGATGATTTGTGTTTTTTAGTGGTGATACTTGCCTTGAGATTTCGCGTGATGATTGTTTTTGGTTTATTGATTTGGGGTAATTGTGTCATCTCACCTCACACTTGGAGTTCTTCTCATCATACACTAGCGGTGATTTTGACTATGTGAAGATAGGAAATGACAAGCGGTATCCTAGGCTATTCGCTTGGGTACTATCTACTTAGAGACATCCAATGGTTGCAGGTTGGCTCTCAGAAATGTAAGACATTTTCCAAATGTCCATGTTAATTTAATCTCTGTCGAAAAGTTTGATGATGATCTCTTAGTCATGCTAGTCACTTTGATGAAGGTCGATGAAAGCTCACCGAAGGTAACATTGGTTGAGGTTCGAAGAAGAAAAAAAAAAAGGGTTGTTTCATGATGCAAGCTAAGATATATATGCGAAGAGTAATGTCCCAAGTTTACCTCTATTGCCACGTTAGAAGCTTGATCACATGGTGGTGAAGAATGTCAAATTCCTCCCTTATGGTAATTCCCTTTCTCCTAGTATTGTTTATCATTGTGTTGATCATAGGAGTAAAGAAGTGAATTTGTGTAGTGGTGATGTGCTGAGTTCATTGCTTGTTGAACATATTTCTTGTAAGCCACCACATGTTCTTCGCTTGAGAGGAGATGGTGAAATCTATTAGAACGTTAACAAAATGCACCGACTAGAGAGTGTGAAAGTCAAGCAAGATGAAACTAGTGTCTTACATGAGACTTCTTCTCGTTGGTTTGATCTGGTAAAGTTATATATAGGCATGAAAACACCTAAGGGTAAGGGGGTGTTTTGTTTGATAAGCTCACCTCCAAAAGACATGGCACAATTAGTTGTGGAAGGTTGTTGTGATCTTTGTTATTGTTGGATTCATGGTGATGAAATCGACTCCAAAATGATGCATTGTACAATACCTAAGGACAAGCGGAAGACTTGCAAAAAAGCGAGTAATGTAGACTCCTCTTTAGGGGGAGATTGACATGTTTGTTTCATGTTGTTCGTAGTTCCTCCCTCACGTAGAAGGGAGGGGGAGATTTGTTGGAGTTCTTCTCTCCTACTTGGAGGAAGAACCCATTTACATAGATGGGCTAATTATTTTAGTCATACATCTATATGTGCAAATGCAGGTTTGAGCCCATATAAAGTTGGTCTTCAATACTGAGACAAAAAGCAAGTCAAAGAGGGAGTTTAAAATACAATAGAACTAGCTTAGGTCCCGTGAAACGCACAGTTATACTAAACTTTTTACAGAAGTAAAAAAAAAAAACTTAATATTTCAACTACTCTTTATAAAGTAATTTTTTGTAAGGAAATCAAAAAATTTAATCAAATTTAATTAGTCATATAGGCAGTATAGCTCATGATCGACTTTATGTAATCACAAATTGGCACAATCTATAACAATGATAGGAAATTTATTAATAAATTGACATTATCAAAAATATAAAAGAAATTAATTAAAAATCTATAAAAAAATCTAAAATTAATTAGTCTATGTATGTATATCCATTAGAGGTGATCATAAATAGCTTGCCTCGCTAGCATGATCCACCCATATAAAAAACAAAAGGCAAGTTTGAATAACCTCAAATCAATGCCAATATTCCAACTCAACCCAAAAAGCCCGCTATGGACCAAAAAACACGGTCAAATTTTGTTGGTTTGTGCAGGAGTTTATATTTTATGGTAGATAAA